GATGACTGTCTTTCTCTCCTAGGCTTTGAGACTGATGACTGTCTTTGTCTCCTAGGCTGTGACTTTGCTCACTGCTGTTTCCCCCTGAGCCCAGCACAGGCCCTGACATATAAAAGGCGCTCAGAAGAAGTGAACATTGCATGAAGGAGTGAGTGAATGAATGAATGAATGAATGAACGAAAGAGTCACAGCTCTGACCATGAGTTTTCTTGCCTGCTCTGGTTCACTGACGTCTAAGGAGCAGCCCCTGGGTCACTGCCTAGAGCCTCAGAGCCCTGGCCGGTCCTCCAAGACCCCTGGGACACACTCTTGCCTGCCGGCCAAGTCCTCAGAGCTAGCCCCGCCGCTCGCCCACACACTCACATCCAGGTAGTTCACCAGGGGCTGGTTGGCTATCATGGTGGCGGCCTCCCCGTGGTGGAAGTACTTGCTGGCTGGGTTGAAGGTGTGCTTCTTCAGGAAGTCCTCTAGCTTGCCATGCTCGATCAGGTTCTTCCTTAAGGACTTCTTTTTGACGAGGGGGACCCTGTGGTTTGGAGGAGGAAGAAGAATTAGGCAATGATTCTGCTCAGTGGGTGCTGTGGCAGCCTCAGAAGGGAAGCTGGTCTAAGAGAGGAAGAAGGAAGGAAGAGAGAAGCTCCCATTTCTGCCCAATAATGCAGAGAAGTTAAGCTGACTAGGGGTGGAGCTGGGAACCACTAATCTTAGCCACGTCTGCAGGGGGGCCTCCCAAAGGGGCAGAGAGAGAGGCAGAAAAGGGTGATGGAGACAGCCGAAGAGAGAGAAAAAAAGGGAAGAAGGAGACAGGGGAGGAATGAAAGGTAACGCGGTAGGTGGCTGTCTTCACACCCACGCCACCTGGACTCACTTGTAGATGCACTCAGAGAGTGCCACCAGACTGAGCAGCAGCAGCCACTTCATGGTTCTAGCTGGGCCCGAACTCCACGGAGAAGGCAAGACGGGAGGAAGGTGCAGGGCAGCAGCAGGAGCCGCCCTTATATACAGCTCAGTCCCTGCCTTATCGGCCTGTCACCCATTCCCCTGATCCCAAACACAAAAGCTCCTGATAACATTGTCGCTGCCCCAGCCACGTTCTGAGACTGTTCCAGCTGAGGAGGTTTCCATTGTAACCTTTTGCCATGGGGGGTGCCATGGGCATGGACCTGCAGAGAGAGAGAGGAGAACGACCCCGAGGCTTATTTCTTTTCATTTTTTTGTTTGTTTGTTTCTGAGACGGAGTTTTGCTCTGTCGCCCAATCAGAGGCTTATTTCTTAAGAATGGAGAAGGGCCCACGTTGAAATTTACAAGCTGAGCATTTTGACAAAGTTGGTTAAAAGTGCGTGTAACATAGCAAGGGACAGATGTGAAGGCGCCCCATGTGGCCTGATTAGTCCCAGTGGGGCGCGCACCTGGGGTTCTCAGAGAGCAGCTCCCCGACTCAGGGATAGCTGGTACTGGTTGTGGTCACTGCTTATCCACAGCACACTGGGGGTGGGTTATTTGGACTCAGGACACAATTCCCCACGTAAGTGTCACTGTGTGGGGTTGTTGGGCATCTGACTAGCCTATGGGACTTCGGGCTTGCTTTTCGTGGCAACTGGGCTGAGTCTGGGAAGATGTGCGCAGTACGTGGGGGAGGAGGGAGAGAGCACCGAAGAATGCTGCCTTCCCTTCTCGGGGGAGGCAAACTTCAGACAGGCAGGCATGTCTTTGGAATCTGTGTCCCTCCCTATCTGCACCCCTTCTCTTTCTTTTGCTCCTTTCCCACCCTCTCCATCTTTGAGATCCCACCTACGTCTGATTCCTCCAGGTGCTCCAGGCTCACAACTGGGCTGAAATCAGCTACAATGGAGCAAAGCAATCTGGGTAAACAAATTCACACTTGTGGGTGGGTGACTTAGAAAGAGGATGCTGGCCGGCGCGATGGCTCATGCCTGTCATCCCAGCACTTTTGGAGGCCAAGGTGGGTGGATCATGAGGTCGGGAGTTTAAGACCAGCCTGGCCAACATGGTGAAACCCTGTCTCTACTAAA